TATATGTATATATATATATATATATAAGCACTTATTAAAATATTTATGTTCCTATTAACAAGAACTCATTCATGATAATGAATAATTTTTTATTAATAAGACAATTCTCTTTAAGAGGTAATAGTTTCTTGAAAAGCTGATATATAAAGAAATAAAATTCCCCGAGCGTTATTAGAAAAACAAAAATATGGCTAAATGTAAAAAAATTATATAATACCATTTAAAAAATCAGAGGTGTCTTTTATATCTTTTTGCGCATTCATTCAGAAAGAAACTTGACCAAAATAAATTTCCTTTAATATCATACAACTTAATTGGAATGCTTTTTTCTAAAAATGCGTTTTCGGTATTTTCCTTTTAAGAACGAAATAAAACTAAAATAATTCATCGCGTGCGCTCGCATGTATGAGCGTATGCATGCGCATACATACATACATACATAGATACATACACACATACATGCATACATATTAGTCGGATTAAAAACCAATTTGTTCTAAAGAGGAATGTTTCATCCCTTAAAAGTGCGTGAGCACGAATATGTGATAGCTTAATTCTTGGTTTTGTCTGGAGAATAACATATTAAAAGATCATCGAAATCGGAGGGAGTCCGATAACTAACAAGGAAAGGGACACTTGGGTCCCTTTCCTTGTTAGTTATATTTGACATTCTCGTGAGCTCTTTAAAAATTATTTGAAATATGTAATTCTCCTATTAAGACATAGGCCGACTATGAGATAGTCGGTGCTTCTGTTAAATAATAGACGCCATTATTGATTTCACTATGAATTTATTGCTCTTGGAATGTTTTTATTAAATACATTTCAAGAGCAATAAGTTCATGGTAGAATCAACACATTGTGCAGCCTATTATTTAATAGAATTCCCGCTGTATAACCTTCCTCATAATAGGGGTCATTTCTTTTATATTCTTTTCCGTTAACTTGTAATTATGTCTTAAATACAGTTTGATTATTATATATAAATGATATTATTATCGATTATTACATATTAGATTTCAGTATAGTAGTTACAAGAAAAACAACTGATTAATGGATATCAGTGTTTTCATCGACCGGCAAAGTTAATAATATCTTCAAACGATGTCAAAGTTCTGTCCGGAAGTCCGATGGCACAACCTCGTCTTTTCTTTTTTAAATATGTTGCGGATGATTATATGTAATCTATCATGTTAAAAAAATGTGCACGCGCTCATGAAATATATATATATATAAATATATAAAATTCGATAAAATTTCAAGTTCGTGCGGATGGCATCTGCACGACTGTGGCCATCAGCAGGTCAAGCTGAGTTGGCAAGCTCGCGAATATATAAATTCAACCAAGGAGAGGAATCTTTCACTTCACATTTGGTACTGGGCATCACATAACACTATGTGGTTCCCTGTGACCCTTCTCCTACTTGGTAAGTATTAATCATTAATTTTGCGGATAGTAATAACTTTCATAAAAATTTCACATAGAATGTCTTGTACTTCATTAAAATTTTTAAAAAGAATATTTTTGAGTTAGTATAAAATTGATATGTTGATTTTTCAATATAAAATAGTTGCTGCAAAATCTGACGCTTTCACGTCATATATACTTAATATTAAACTAATTTACGTGCTAAGATAAATTCAAATATTTTGAGACAACGTAATAAGAACTTTATTTTAACCCGACAAGAAAATACACAATTCGATTATTACAATTTGGCAATCTGTTTGACAGTCGGCGTGGCCGTGGCCACAACTGATCACAGCCATGGTTGGGAATCGCAAACCGAGTATCAATACCTTGTACACAGTAGAACAATAACAGGCCTTGACAAGTTGAAAAACCAATATAGTGGACTTCAGTTAAAAGGTGTCCTTACCGTTCAAGTAAAATCACCGGAATCGTTGGTGGCGAAGCTTTCCGATCCGCAGTATGCTCGTATACATACTACATTACCGGACGGTCCGGAAACCAAGATCTCCGACCAGATGCTGGAATATCGCGAGCTTCCCATGTCAGGAAAGCCATTCGAAATCAAGTTGAAGCATGGAGTGATCCGGAACTTGATGGTCGACCGTGATGTACCTACTTGGGAACTGAATATCCTCAAGGGTTTCGTGAGTCAGTTACAGGTTGACACGCAGGGCGAAAACGTGATAAAACGCAAGGACACTCAAATTCCGATCGATGAGAATTCTTCCTCTATATTTAATGCCATGGAGGACTCCGTCGGTGGCAATTGCGAGGTTCTGTACGAGATCATTCCGTTGCACAGTGATGCTATTCTAGAGAGACAAGATAGGCTACCTTTCCCACACTTACACGGTGGCGCTCAACATTACGACGTTAAGAAAACGAAGAATTACAATAACTGCCAGCAGCGACAGCTTTATCACGTCGGCTTACACGATTCATTGTTAAAGGAAAAAGTAAATCAGCAGGATCAAATTCTTTCGGTGAGTTAAATTTTAATTGCTCAACTGTTCTTATGTGCTCTGCTCTATACTCTAGCTAAAAAATGTAATGATTGTGATTGAAGATTATAAAAGAGATCTCTTTGAACAATAGAAAACTGTTTCATTTTAAATGTCGGTACTTTTTTACTACTCTATACTCAGTTAACCAAACTGCAATTAAATAGAAGAAAAAATGATAAATTGGAACGTTAATAAAAATAAAATGGAGATATTATTGTTAGACAAAAATACTTATTCTAAGGTTAACAAGGATCCTATTCGCTCTCTTATAAATAAAGTGAGAATGTTACTGGCGCTAGAATAGAAAAATTCTGAATATATTTCGTCATCTACCTATCTCTTTAGTATCTACCTATTTCTTTAGATCTCTTTAGTACAGTAACAGTGTACTTCCGAGAACCTATGAACTTTGGAAAATCCACAAACTATATCACCTTTTAAGAATTATAGTATCGTCTATTGATCCATTACATTTTCTAGCAAGTTTTTTTTATGTACTATAATATCTATAAGTAACATACCGAAGGCTAACAGCCATATTAACGATATAGCTTCCATTAGTCAGAAACTTGAGTGGTTTACACATAGGCGGTAATTACATTCTTGGTTTCCCTCGACGTAGTTTTACTTTTTACAAATGTTCCTACCGATTTAGCTGCTAACAGTTTGCAATAGATGGAATTATATCTCTGAAAAATGCAGCATCCCTAAAGAATTTATGCAGTGTGATTTACGCGTGATTACTTAAATTCACTTTCTTAATAATTAAAAAATTAATCACTTTTTTAAATTCAACAACTATACATATAAATAAAATTTCGGAAATCTCATGGGCTCTTCCTTGTTTTCTGCATGTGATTGCAGATCTAGTGCTACAGGATCTTGAGACATGGACGCTAAGAATTTTTACATTCCATTTTACAATAGATACGTTGATGATATTGTCATGGCTATATCTTCTGAAATGGTGAACTTAACGTTACGAACCTTTAACTCCTTTCATTCACGTTTTACAGTTGATTGAGATTGGTAACAAAAAAAAACTTAATTTTTTAGATACTACTGTCGTTCTTAAATGAAGGGTTTATCGAATTTGATTTGTATCATAAACCAACTTTTTTCGGACGACATCTCAATTCCTATTTTTGGTATCCTCACAAAAGCGTGGCTTTATTATGAAACTTATCAACCGAGTTTTTTTTTATCTCATCCGAGATTTTATAAAAAAAATTTGGAATTTATTAATAGAATCCTTTAATTCTTTAATCCTTTTATCCTTTTTTTTTTTAATAGAATCCTTCTCGACAATGATTATCCCTTGAAGATCATTTTTAACATAATTTATAAACGGCTTAGATGTCTGTTTGCTACATAGATAAAAAAAACAGAACGTTAGTATAGTGATTCAGATAAGGAAAAAATTCGTTTATCATTCCGTATGTTCCTTCAATATTTGATAGTTTTTATAATATTTTTAGAAATTCCGACATTAAATTATCTTTCTATAGCATTAATAAACTTCGCAAATTTATCAAAGTCCAGAAAGATGCACTTTGTACTTTGTATTACTTCAATGAGTAATGTAGTCTATATAAGATATACCGTGCCGCAACTGCGATGTGTCTTATGTTGGGCAGACTAGTAGAACTTGAGTCAAAACTTGAATTTTTGAACACCGTAACCATATTCGTAGAAACATGTTCTGCTCACTCCGTGATCATTGACCATAGATTGCAATATGGTTATTATTTTGACTGGGAAGGCGTTGAAATATTAAACCACGAAAGATTTTAAACGACTTATTTCCGAAGTATATTAAATAACAACGGAACGATTTAAATTTGCAATCAGATACTGACTGTTTACATCACACATATCTTTCGTTTCTCAACAATAGATAAGATCCTTCATTTTATATATTCGGTTTGATCTGCGGCATTGCTGTTCCCTTTCATTTTACTTTTGACAGTCGTACTTACAAGACTTACTACTATTTTATTTGTTTCGGCCCTTTAAACCACAAATATTATTTCTTAAATTCAATTCTTTTATCACTGGATTGTTTAATACTGCTTACATTTATCATAAATATTAAGATAATTTTAATAACTGTCGATCTTGTCCGTCGAGATAAATTTTCTCCTTTCCTTTTCGTTATTTTGTTGCCTTTAATAAAGATAAAATTACTCTTCAATTTCAGTAGAAAATATGTCCACTATATCCGTGCTTAACAACTCGCATATTATAAGTATAGTCTCTTCCCGGCAAGGAGTCTTCCACCTCGAGGTTGATCGTTCTTTATACTATATTTTTCTCCACCTTGTACTGAAGATGGCCCGAAAGGAGAGCCGAAACATTTAATTAATATATATGAAGTTGTGATCAGTAATTGACTTTTATTATTTGTTGCGCAATAATTACCGCGCTCGTATACGCCGCGTTACACCTACGTTCTTTGACTTTTTTATGAGTCTTGTTATGTATGTATATTTGAAGAATGATAAACTTTATCGAAACTTATTTGCGATTTATGCGATTGTTACAGCAATTTTCTACGACTCAAATGATCATCACGGGCGATCTGAAACGTTTCACAATTCAATCCACCGAGACGAAGAATCAAGTGTCCGTCAAACCTGACGTATCTGATCCTTTCATTGGCGCCGTCCACAGCTTAACGAGATTAACTTTAGCCAGAAGAAGCAAAGTCTCCAACCCTTTGTCTGACCAACTCGAATCAGCCAATTTCGAATCAACTGGAAACCTATTGTACGCATATAATGATCCATTCTCTGGCTCCGAGAATCGAAAAGCACGTCACCCGAGCATTAGTCAAAATTCCGCGCAAGTACAATCGTCAGAGAGCAGCAGCTCTTCTCAAAGTTCCAGCAGCGAGGAAGACGCAATGCTGCTGGATGATTCTCTCTGGCAATCTAAAGCGCCATTGCATCTGGCTCCAAACGTACCGCTGTTACCTTACTTTGTCGGCTACAAGGGCAAGACTATCCAGATGTCCGATAAAGTCAACGTTGTGGAACATGCCGCGAATCTAATTTCTCAAATAGCCGAAGAAGTAGGTTCTTCATCAAAAATAACTGGAGATACGCTGGAGAAATATACAATCTTGAAGAACCTTGTTCGCACCTTGAACTTGGAGCAGTACGCTGAGTTAGAGAAGCGCGTAAACTCCTTAAATAAGGAGGGCCAATATGTCTGGAGCATCCTGCGCGATGTAGTCACACATGCCGGAACTGGACCTGCTTTACTCACTATCCACAATTGGTTAAAAACAAAACAAATTAAAGGCATAGAGGCAGCAAGTATTATCTCACAAATCCCCAGGCACGTTCGCCACCCAACGGCGGAATATATTCAAGCATTCTTCGTAAGTATACATTTCCGTATAATAACGTATTAATGATCAAGCACCCTTTTAATAATTCTCCACATCCGAATGAAATGCTTATTTTATTAGTAATTAAACATTATCCATAAAAATAATTATAACCTTTATACAATCTGTGCAGGAATTGTGTCTCGATCCAGTAATAACGCAACAGAAATATGTAAATGTGTCGACGCCTCTAGCATTTGCCGAATTGCTCGGCAAAAGTTATAACGGTCAGAAAAATTATCCGATACACAGTTTTGGCCCTATGACACTCAAGACAAACAACGAGGTGGTTAATCGCTATATTCCCCATTTCGCTAATCAGCTGAAACAAGGCTTGAGCGAAAACAACAGTCAAAAAATTCAGACATATATAGCAGCACTTGGTCTCACCGACCATCCGAATATTATCTCGATTTTTGAACCGTACATAGAAGGCACGGAGCCAGTAACGAAATTTCAACGTAAATTCATTGTAACTGTTTTGACCATCTTAGCCGAACACCAACCGAAATTAGTTAGACCTATTTTCTACAAGCTCTATTTGGACACAAATGAGGATCACGAGGTTCGTAGTCTTGCAGTATTTGGTCTTATCAAGACCGATCCACCTTTGAATATGTGGCAACGCCTAGCGGAATTCACTAATGTTGATAAGAGCGAACATGTAAACTCTTTCGTGAAGTCTACGATACAGAGCCTCGCTAATCTGAAACGACCGGAAATGCAAAATCTCGCTAACAAGGCGCGCAGTATTAAGCATTTGTTAACGAAAAAGAACAGTGGTTGGTACTCAAAAGCCTACTACGGGGACATTGAAAATTGGTTCTATAGAGGATTTAATTTGCAAGCTATTATTGGTGACGACAGTGCAATACCTACATGGCTATTCTTTATGGTGAATTCAATTTACGATCGCATCGGACAACCCACAGTGGCAACATATGAGGTATCGAACGGCAAGCAGTTTTTGAATAAACTGTATGAATTGCTGCAATCACGACAGCAGAAAGGCCAACAAGCAAGCGAAGAATTATCGCAAGTATCAGGCTTTGAAGAACTCGTGCAAGCACTTAAGATCAAGCCCGAACACTTGAATAAGTTGGAAGGAAATGTCGCCTTTAGCTCGGTGTACAATTTGCTGTTCTATCCCTTCGACGGTCCAGCAATTGAAAATCTTTCCCATGGTAAATATTCCTGAATTTAATTTCAAAATTATATTACTTTCAAAGAGATTAACTCTATAATATTATTTTTTTTTTACAGAAGTAAAAGATTTCATCTTCAAGAGTCAAAAATTACAATCAACTATAATCAACAATCAAGAAGTAACAGTGAGTTTCCCGATTGAAAATGGCCTGCCATTCATTTATACTTTCGAGTCGCCAGTGTTAATGAAGCTTAACGCTGACTGGCAAAATCAAGGCAAATCAAGGCAAATCAGTGAGCAAATATCTGGCAATTTTGATGCTCTTGTCGCCAAGAGGGTTCAGAAGCGATTTGGATTTCTAGCGCCTTTCGAGCATCAAAATTACATGACTGGTGTCGATCACAGTCTCCAACTACAAGTACCATTAGAGTTTGAAGTCACAGTTGGTCATAAAGGTTCAGGTTTAAGCGGGCTGAAGATTCGCCCGAACATCTTATCTATGCAAACTCAAGTAGATTCTTCTAATGGATTCAAATTGTTGCACCACAGCACCATTCCATTCACCACGCGACAAGACGTTCTTGATCTTCAACCTGTATCTCTTGATAAAAACACACATCTTGTACTGACTTCAGAGAAACATAAAACCACATTCGAGAAAGATCCACTTCATATCCAGGTAGAATCTGATAACAAACAAGTAGAAAGAAGTAATGTAGGAGATAACGTTGTACAGATTGTACACCAACTGATGGGTAGTTCAAAGAAAAATTCGAATTATAAAAAGTTAGACGTATCAATAAATCTTGGACAGATAGAACAGAGTGGCTTATATTTCAACATCGGTTACGATAAAATGGTACTTGATGATAACAATGGTCATAATAAGCATCCGCGTGCATTAGAGTCCCAAAGACTATTTTCTATAAAGTATACGAAACCAGACAGTGAGAACAGAAGAAAGGAGATTATGGAAACACTTAGCCAAGGCGTCAAGTCGGGTAACGTCCACGTATTTGATGTAAGTTACAAGGTCCCGTTACAAAAGCACGCACAAGTTCTCACCGTCGGTATAATGGAGCTCAACAACGTGAACAAAACGCATGCGACTTATGTTTATTGGAATTCTCAATCGAAAACGGAAGAGCCGGAATATGAAGTTTGCTACGTTCAAACAATGGAAAGATCACCAAAGACTCCTTTAGACTTTGAATATACGCTTAGAAGTAACCCGGAAGATACGCTCCAGGGTGTACTTCGATATGGAAAGAGTTGCATGGAAGGAACCAAAGTTATTGTCGAAGGAAAAGCGATGCGAAGTAACGAATTGAAGGAAGCGATAGAGAACTCCGAAACAGCCAAAAAATGTTGGGAAGAGATTCAAAACGGAAACAAAGTACCGCGGGCTTGCCAGAAGGCCACCCAGCTTGGCGAAATAAAGGATAATATAAGAGTTGTAATTAAGGGAACAACTGACATTGTTCGAAATGTTATTAACAAGATTGTGGGTTGGCTCGAAAATATAATGAAAATACGTGTAAAAGAAAACGACAATAACTTTGAAACAAATAACATCAATGTAAAAATGAATTTATTGCCCTACAAACTACCAAAAGTCTCAGTGCAAACCCCGCAACAAGAGATTACTTTCCCATACAATACGGAAACTTCTTTCGAAGAACAACGGCTATTGACAGAAAAAGTCAAAATGCTTGAAAATGAAATAGAAAGACGTAAGTTACAAAATTTAAAAAATATATATAATTAGTGTTCTTCAAATATTGTAAATTATAGTAATTAAATATGGTTGATAATGTATCATGTGCATGTATTAATTAAAAGCAAATTAACGCTTGAATAATAATGCTGAATCTGATAATTCGTTACTGTATTTGTGCAAGTATTTCTCAATAATTCCGCGATCGGATATATTTATTATTATTATTTCTTTAGTTTAAATAACTAAATCATTGTTCTGTTGTCGATATTTCGATGCATTATATCTTATTAGGTAAAAATGTCTTGCGGAATATAGTATATGTATATATATATATCTAGATTATTTCTAAAAATTCCATAATATAACATTACTAAATTCTTTTTTACAGCTTTGTGTACTCTCGACAAAAATAAGATCGTTACTTTTGATAAGCGGGTTTATCCTGTGACACTGGGGACAACTGAGCACGTATTATTGACCACTTATCCGATACTAGATCCTGATAATCACAAGAATCCAATTCCGGAAGAATCGAGAGTGGCTGTCTCAGTTCATGATACGAACGACGGCAGCAGGAGCGTTAATGTATTCTTGGGCAAACGAGAAATTAAATTGGTAAAATCGGGTTATGAACTGAAAGCTGTAGTTGACGGACAGACAGTCGATTTTGGATCGGAGAGATATTATCGTTATCTCGAAAACGGCGATGTTATTTTCGAAATCAGCTTGCTACCGGACCATTCGATCTTCTTGTACTCGAAGAAGTATGGAATTTACGTTGCGTATGACGGAAACCATGTTGCAGTATGGGTTAGTAAAAATATGAAACAAACTGGTAATATTAATAATACAGTAACGTAGAAAGTGTAATAACAATGGAAATAAATTTGTTTTTCAGGGAGCCCATAGATATCGCAATGCCGTGCGCGGTCTCTGCGGCAACTACGACTCCAATCTTGACAACGATTTCCTTACTCCCGAGAACTGCCTTCTGACGAAACCGAAAGAATTTACCTCCACGTATGCTTTGATTCAGGAGAATTCCGAGGGACCTATTCTGGAGAACAGGCGAAGAGCCGAACAAGCCCAGTGCAGGGAGCGCTCATCGATGCGTAATTATCAGAGCAACATTATCAACGATAGAGAAGCGGGAAGAATAACGGCAGAGGGCGAGCTACCATCCGGACAAAGTTGGGGCTATCATCCTGTTAATCGCAATAGAGCGAACGGACACCGCCATCGAGATTCTAGCAGATCCAGTCAAGAATACAGTCAGGAGCAAGAGAATAGAAATCATAATCGTGATTCGGGAGAACACAACATTGTCTATCGCACAAGAGTCTTCGAAGACAACTCCCAGCAACACATTTGTTTCACTACCAAACCTGTGCCAACGTGCCGCGAGGGGACTACTCCAACGGAAAGAAAGTCGAAGAAATATGACCTTATCTGCGAGGAGAGGAATGAGGAATCTGTAGGATTGAAACACAGAGTCGAGAAAGGTGCTAATCCCGATTTTAGCCAACGAAAGCGTGCTAACAAGTCGAAAACTTTCCAAGTTCCTGTCAGTTGCAGCGGCACCGTGTAGTCCGGCAGTACCGAAATAATATGCCGATCTTGCATACCTAATCGAAAAACGAATTCTTTCTTTTTTTTTATTTTATTTTTTTTTAATCTGCAAATATGTTATTATAGTAATTGCAGTAATATAAGCAATAATAAAGTTGAGGCTTTTCAACGTAATTATTTGTGGTATCCTTTCCTGCACATCCAAGTTCGAAATCAATAATCCATTTAATTACCAGCATTAATTAAGATCGGTACATGTCTTTTATACAGTAATTGTCCTTTTTATTGAAATAGTAGCCGTTGAACCTTTGTTTCAAACTTTCTAGCGGAATATCGTTCCTAGAATGAGATAAAACCTGTGTGACGATCGATTAATTATCGCATTTGTATCCCATTGTTCTATCTGTCCATTATCTCAATTTAATTATCTGCAATAATATCAAGATGCTTCGCTATTCAAGGTACTCTAATTCCATTGAAAGTGAACAAAGCAAGGAACTGCGTAACTGCGAATGCTGCGATACGCGACTTTGATAATATGATATCGTAAAGATTCTCGAACGTTTTAAAAAACCTTATAATCCCGCGGCTAAGTGGCCTAAGATATTGGCTGCGTTCCGCAAAGCGCATCATGCGCATGATTTATCCTTTTATCTTTGTTTAACATTTAATGAACAACGAGGACACCATGATACATCATGCGCATGATGCGCATTGCGGAACGCACCATCAAAGTCGCGTATCGCAGTATTCGCAGTCACGCAGTTCCTTACTTTGTTCGCTTTCAACTGCGGAGTTTCTTGATTTATGCGGCAATCTACATGCGAGTTTGCAATGCATAACGTATCCTAAAAAATGTTGCAATTATAATGTAAATATTAGTATATTTGTATTGACTTGGTAATACAAATTACAATTTAACTTGATGAGTAATTGTTGTCGTCTCCGTGTCTGTTCGCTTTTTTCGATGTATATTTTCAACGTGAATATAATATACTATAAGTACATAATCTCAATTAAATAGATTGCAATTCTGGAACAAATACCATCACTGTAGAAGTGAATATGTTACCTTACGAAATGCCAAAGATTCAAGTGCACACTCCGCAACAGGAGATTACTTTCCCTTACGCCAGAGAAACTCCTTTGGAAGAACAAAAGCTATTAAAGGAAAAAGTCGAAACGCTCGAAAATGAAATAGAAAAACGTAAGTTATTTAAAATTTTAAAAATATATAATTAGTGTTCTTCAAATATTGTAAATTATATAGTAATTAAATATGTTGATAATGTATCATGCATATGTATAGATTAAAAACAAATTAACGCTCGAATAATAATGCTGAAGCTGATAATTCGTTATTCTATTATTATTTGTAGTATTTTTCAATAACTCCGTAAGCGAATATATTTATTACTATTATTACATTAGTTTAAATGAATCATTGTTCCGTTATTGATTCCTCGATGAATTATATGTTTTTGGATAAAGAAGTCTTGCAAAATGTAATAATATTCAAGTGTCCAGATACTCGACCCCATTACTTGAGATGATTCGGGACCAAAAAGGAGAAGAAAGCTATATAAACGTAAGTCCGGAAATGAGTTCTTTTCGAGTTACAGACACTTTTATGTTAAAAAATAACACCATAAATAAATCGTAACGAAAATTATATTAAATTATAATAATAATAATCGTAATAAGTGATTATGATTATTAATATAAAATATAAATTATTTTCTTAGTTATAGTCACTTTTATTTAAAAAAAATCGTTATGTACTTTTCATAATCATAATAATTATAATTATTTATTACTATTATTATTACAATTTATTAAGATTTCTTTTAATATGAAGGTGACTATGTATCAGACAAAACTCACTTCCGTATCTGTTTTTGTATAACTTTCTTTCCTTCTTTTTGAGTGCCGAATCACTTTAGTAATGCAGACGAGATGCTGGTCACCCTGTATATGAATTGTTTATAAAAATTTCACAATATAACGTCACTAAATTTTTTTTTACAGCTTCGTGTACTCTCGACAAAAATATGGTCATTACTTTTGATAAGCGAGTTTATCCCGTGACACTGGGAACTACGAAGTACGTGCTGTTGATCACTTATCTGATACAGGATCCTAATAATCGCAAAAATCATATGACAATTGCGGAAGAATTGATAGTGGCTGTCGTAGCTAAGGATATGAACGACGGTAGCAGAAGCGTCAACATAATCCTGGGCAAACGAGAAGTTAAATTGACAAAATTGGGTCATGAGACGATAGCTACATTTAACGGAGCTACAGTTATCGATTCAAAAAAGAGAAGTTATGGATACATCGCACATCGCGAAATCATTTTCGTGATCGTAAAACTACCGGATGGTTCGATCGTATGTGACTCGCAGAAGTATGGAATTACTGTTGCGTACGATGGAAATCGTGTTAACATACGGGTTAGTAAAAATATGAAAACAAATGGGTAATATTAATTAGTCAATTATATATAATAACGCAGAGAGTGTAATAACAATTGAAATATAAATTTTGTTTTTTAGACAGTCGATAGGTATCGCAATGCCGTGCGCGGTCTCTGCGGCAACTACGACTCTAATACCGGCAATGATTTTCTTACTCCTGGAAAATACCTTCTGACAAAGCCCGAGGAATTCGCCGCCACATATTCCTCGATTCAGGAGAATTCCGAGGGACCAGTTCTGAAGAACAGACGAAAAGCCGAATAAGCCCAGTGCAGGGAGCTCCATCAAGACGTGATTATTAGAGCAACATTATCAGCGATAGAGAAGCGGCAAGAATGACTGCAGAGGACGGGCCACTATCCGGATAAAATTGGAGCTACCATCCGGATAATCGCAATAAAGAGTACGAACGATACCGCGATCGAGATTCTAGCACGTATACAATCGAAAATACAGTCTGGAGCAAGAGAATATAAAGACCGTAACCGTGATTTGAAGAAAAGGAACCTTGTTTATCGCACAAAAGTCCTTGAAAATCTCTCATTGCACATTTGTTTCACTAACCTACCTGTGCCAAAATGTTGCGATCGAACCATCCCAACGGAAATAATAATGAGGAGATACGACCTTTTCTGCATGTTCGAGGAATGAGAAATCTCTAGAATTGAAACGCAGAGTCGAGCAAGGCGTTAATATCTATTTTAGCCGAGAGCGTGCCAATATGTCGAAAATTTTCCGGGTTCCTGTCCGTTGCAGCATCATGTAGTTCGGCAATACCAATATACTGCAGATTGTGCATTCCTAATCGAGAAACGACTTCTTAACATTTTTTATTGTCCTTTTTTTTAAGCTGAAAATATGTTCTTTTAGTAATTATAGTAATGCAAGCAATAATAAAGTTGAAGCTTTTCAACACAATTATTTGTGGTATTCTTTCTTGCACATCCAAGTTGTTTATCAATAATGTATTTAATTGCCAGCATTAATTAAGATTATTACATGTCTTTTATCTAGTAATCATTCTTTTTGTTGGTACAACCGCGTTAAATTTTTATTTTAAAATTTCAACTTTCTAGCAAAATACCATTTCTATTAAGATCAAGCTAAGATAAGCTTGTGTGACAAGTCAGTTTTGATTATCGCATCTGTCTTTTTGTTCTAACTGTTTATTATCTTAATTAACAAGATGCTTCGTGCTCTGACTCTAACGAAAAGACTGGACCTAAGCGCGATAAGTGGTGCTAAATTAATAAAAACACGACATTGTAAATCTTTAAATAAAAACAAATTTATAATTCAAGAAATAAGATATTTAAGAAAAACAGACTTCGGCTAATGTTGAAATCTCTTCAGCGCATATAATGTTGATGAAAAATAAATTAATTAAATTAATAAAATAAAATAAATAGGCCAGAAAAAATATTTTATATCGTTAAAGTATATTTAACAATATTAATTACGTTGTTTGTTGTGGTCGGAATCATGCGGATCTAAACTCGCATCAGTTGGAACCTGATTATTCGTTCCTACATCCTACAATCACAGACGCAACAGTTAAGACTTCCTTATTTAGATTGTAGGCAATAGTAAACCGTGTTTATATCCAAAAGGAAATGTCATGGTCAAAAGTTAAATAAAAATAATAAATTTAGTGATAATCGGTGGTTTTCATAATTCGAAATGAATATACAGAATTTATTTATTTAATTTTTTTATCTTTTATCAACATTACATGCGCTCATAAGATGGCTACAACATTAGCTGGAACATTTGTTTTTCTTAAATATATATTTGTTTTAACTTAAAGACTTAATGTTATAATGTTATATTTATAATGTTATATTTTTATTACGGTTGAGCACCACTTACCGTGCTAAATTCTGCCCTAGTTTTGTAATTATTAGATTGGATATAAACAAATTTACTTATTAACGAAGTCCATTTTTATATTTATCTTTGACGCGTATATGCCGCTATATCCCGTTTACACTATACCTTATAGTATTAGATGTATAGACCGGATATAGAGACACAAGTGTCAAAGATATATATGTGTATAGAGAAATGGATCTCGTCAACAAATAATTTTTTTAGTTTACATTTAAATTTTCTTTCTACGACATAATAGAAGATTTAAGAGAATGAATGATAATTTTAGAATGGCACAGTTACAGATTCGTTTTGTTGATAATTTTATATAACTCCGTTGTATATACGTAAGCACTTATTAAAATATTTCTATTGTCAACTCGTTCATAATAGGAATAGTGGGTAATTTTTTATTAAAAAGATAATTCTCTTTAAGGAGATCATTCTTTGAAAAGCTAACATATAGAGAAAAATAAAATTCCCCGTGCGTCATTAGTAAAATAAAAAAAATATGGCTAGTTGGCGATGTAAAAATGTTTAATAACTAATGCAAAACAGCAATAATTCGTTGAATCCGATACAAACATTTAACACATACTGAAGATTATCAATGACCTGTTATGAACTTACTTATCGATTAAAATGCGAATATGTTGCATATTATCTCTACAAAAATCTGCGAAAGAGTACAATTCCTTGTAAATGTTATGACACAGAGCTTTATATAAGAGTTCAATAAATCATATGAAAAATCTCTTAAATTTTGAAACTTAAAGAATAATTTGTAATATAAATTAATTTGTTTATAATTTTCTTTAAAAAATTTTGTAGAGTCATATAAATTTTAGGACTTTCTGATACTATCAACGGCGTCTCTCGATTAATTATTTATTGATTAAATCTCGATATCCGATCCATTATTATCATTATGATACATTATAATTAGATCTAATAGAGACTACATAATGTTAATAAATAAGGACATATGTATATGTGTTGAATAATCAAAGAGAATCATATTTTTGGACAAAGTCATTATCTTGTTTGAAAGTATGTGTGTGAAGCCCTTCAATTTTCCAAGTATGCTACTATTATGCAAAATGTTCTCAATCACACTCGATTCTAACTATGTGCAAAATTAGTGTGTGCACATAGTTAAAATAATTTATTATGTGACACAGAATTATACAATTTTAAGTTGAAATCTAAATCAATCATATCGCGCGGGTCAAGCTGACGTGACACACGGAGTATATATAAATCCGACTGAGAGGAAGAATCTCCCATTTTGTACTAGACATTATTCATAGCAAATCATGTGGTATCTGGCTTTTCTCGTAATCGGTAAGTAAACGACAATATTTTATGTAAATAACGTTAACTTATAGGAAAATTATACGGTAACGGTATTTCTTATCATTTACTGCATATTTAAATAAATTATTTTTTTTCTTGCTTGATAAAATGATTATTTTGAAACTCCTACAATATTTCTCTTTCTTTATTGCTAATTTATCCAAAATTATGAAAGTTAATCTTCTCTTTAATAATCCCGCAAATTTCTTATTAGTAAAAACTATTTTTATATATTGCAATATATCAATTTGTACAAAATGTAATAATAACCTGTAGATAATCACATTAAGATAAAAATATATACATAAAGAAATAAAAAAGTAGAAACACAATTTAAAAAACCAAGAAGTGTAATAAAATTCTGCACATTTACTTTTTCGCTTGAGCTATTTTATTTATTAAAATATGTCATTATTTGTTAAAACATTATATGTAATTATTCATTAAAACATGTTTAACGAATTTTTCTTTTAGTAGTTGGAGCAGCCATAGCCGATCACAATTATGCCTGGCAAACCGGAAACGAATATCATTTTCTTATAGAAAGTCGGACACTGACATCTTTAAACAGATTATCTGGACAATCTTCTGGGATTTTTATGAAATGTGCTCTCACCATTCAGGTAAAATCCTCGGATCGGCTGCAGGCTGTTGTATCGGAAACACAACATGCTCCTGTGGACAAAGTATTGACAAATATATGGGAAGAAATTACCGATCTCGAGTTTCGCGAGCTTTCTTTGTCGGAAAAACCTTTCGAGATCAAACTCAAACATGGAATGATACGGGATGTGTTAGTCGATGAGGACGTGCCTACTTGGGAGGTGAATTTGCTAAAGAGTATTGTGAGTCAGCTGCAAATCGATATGGAGGGTGAAAATATGTTAGCAAGAAGTCCAACGTACTCAAATGAGATTCGTGGCATGCGACAACCGTACTTTTATATGATGCCTTATGACAATGTGCCCAACGTTACATTCAAAGTTATGGAAGATTCCGTCGGAGGTAAATGTGAGGTCCTTTACAATATCACACCAATGAATAATGATACCTACGTATCCGTTCCACCATACAGCCACGAGAATGACTCATATTTCACTATCACAAAATCGAAGGATTACGTCAAATGCGAGCAAAGAATGGCTTATGAATTTGGTATCATGGACAAAAGAAATTTGAAACGGACACCTAACGTTATTTCAGTAAGTTAGATTTAAACATAAAAGAATTGTTACAATACTCGAGTTGATGAAATCTTACATAATTGAGTGCTATACAATTATACGAAGAAAGAGGTTTAGCGAAACTCTCTCGTTCGAATGTTTCTATATTTCTATATCTATGCAAAATAAAATTAAAATGTATGCAACGCTGAGAGAGCAAAATTTATTTTTCTAATTGTATATTTGTTACAGAGATCATCTGAGACTAAAATTGTCGCCACCGGTAATCTGACATGTTTTACCATCCAATCGTCCTCGATGACAGACGAGATATCCATCAACTCTAACATTAACGATATGTACTCTGGCGTTGTCTATAGTAGTATGAATCTAACTTTGGACAGAATGAGCCAGATTTCCAATCCTCTGCCTTCATCAAACAATCTTGTGTCAACTGGGAACTTAGTGTACACTTACAACAATCCGTTCTCTAACCAACGCAAACCGCGTCGTTCGAGTGTCAGTCGAAGAACCTTGGAATCTGAGAACCATAATTCTAATAGTTCTAGTGACGATAACAGCAGCGAGGAGCGTGACTACTTGCAACCTAAACCGACATTGGACGAGGCTCCGGAGAGTCCGCTATTGCCCTATTTTATCGGATACAAAGGCAACAGCATCCAAAAGTCCGAAGAGGATTATATTTTGACAGCGGCCCGTTTGATCGGTCAGATAACCGGGGAAATGGAACATTTTCCTGAACAAATTTTAAATGAACCATTCACCGACACTTTAGAGCGAGTCACAATTCTAATTAGACTGATCCGCACTATGAATGTCAACCAAATCGCTGAGATAGAGAACAAACTACCCGAATTATTCTACCAGGACGATCGTAACAGACTTTCTAATAAAGAGGAGCAGAAGGTATACGATCAAGCTGCATGGGATGTCTTTTGCAGCACCGTCGCATATGCCGGAACTGGTCCCGCTCTTATCGCTATCAAAAATTGGATAAAAACCGGGAAACTCGAGGGCAAACAAGCGGCGCAGATTATTTCGAAAATTCCGAAAGCTGCGATTGCACCTACGGCAGAATATATTGCAGCGTTCTTTGTAAGTATTTATTATATTAGTATGAAATATATATTAAATCAACATGTAAAAGAAATCAGAAGATAAGAGATTAAAAAAATGTCTTTTTTTAAATCTCTCATCGTTTAAATATTCGTATCAGCAATTACTAAATATATATATGTACAGATTAATTTTAATTTTTGATCTCCATGCAGGAATTGATTACCGATAAGCGAGTAATGAAACAGAAATATTTAAATACAACCGCACCTTTATCATTCGCCGAATTGGTTGGTTACACCCAAAATATTACGATCTCTAGTTACTATCCGATTCACAGTTTCGACCGTATGGTCCCTAAAGACGACAATTCGTTACTTGAAATTTATATTCCGTATATGGCCACTCAATTAAGAAAATCCATCGAGGAAGGTGACAGCCGTCGAATTCAAACATACATTATGTCATTGGGTAATTTTGACCATCCAGAAGTAGTCTTCGTCTTTAAGCCGTATCTGGAAGGCACGTTGCCGGCATCAAAGTTCCAACGTTTGATGATGTTAATATCGTTAAGCAGATTAAGTGAAAGCCACCCGCTTATCATTGAAGCCATCACCTATAAAATTTACCAAAACGTACACGAAGCCTACGAATTACGTATTGCAGCTGTTAATATTATAATGAGGACCAAGCCATCCCTGAACATATTGGAGAGAATTGCGGAACTTACCATGTCAGAAGATAATCTACTTGTAAAATCTGCCGTCAAAACCAACTTAGAAGCCATCGCTAATTTGAAGCAACCGGAGTGGGAAGAATTCGCTTCCAAGGCGCGTATCGCTAGCAAGTTATTGAATCCTGACATTCAGGTTGAAAGTCAATCTGAAAGTGTCTTCAAAGAATTGATAGTCGCTGCTCTAAACATCGCTCAAACAAATATCCGTCAGACGATTGGTAGCGACGACATTGATATACCTAAAGATATAGAAGCTAACGTACACCAATCATACGGTGACTTCCATTTACCTCGCTCAAAAATAAGATTCTCAGTGTCAAGCATCAGAAAAATCTTGATAGATATGGGGCAGCATATGCCCTGGAAGACCAAAAGTATAGCAGAAAAAAAATCAATTATAGAAGAGATTATTGAGAAGCTCGGTATTATTCCCGAAGATGAGGAATCTTTTGAAGGGAATATCTTTATAGATACTATATTTGATTCTGAATTCTATCCTTTCGACAGCCATACGATTGAAGACGTCAAGAATAGTAAGTATTCCGAAATTAATAATTACTGAATTAACAATCTTTCAACTAAATTTATAAATAAAATTTATAAATAACTAAAAACAGAATAATAATTACTGAATTAACAATCTTGCAAATAATTCTGTTCTATTTCAGTGATGGCAACGTTTATCGAATCAATGTCGAAGACGCAAGCTTTTGAATCCGAAAATCTAAATCAGCTAGGTCATTATGACACGACGTTAGGATTCCCGACTGAAACCGGTTTGCCATTCATCTATACCTTAACGATTCCGCAATTAACGAAATATAGTGGTGGAGAATCTCATGAAATAAGAAATTCACAAACTGGAAGTTTTATGGAATTTACAGCGGCGGGACATATAATAATGAGAGAAAAGATCCAAAGTAGAATTGGTTTTGTTACACCTTTCGAGCACAGGCACTACATTGCTGATATCGATATCAATATTCAGATTTTCATACCAGCTGGCTTAAGTGTCAAATTGGAGGGAGGAAAGAAGAAATTAGAGCTGAATATGCAACCGCGCGAATATTATCGATATGGCACTGGACATGTGGCGATACATCACAGTATCGTTCCTTATACCGCAAGACACAACATTCTGGATTTACAACCTGTAATTCTCAGCTCTAACACGCGCCTAGTGTACACAAAAGAACCGCGAGAAATACAAGCGTCACTAGGTAATTTGACACTCAAAGCAAGGAGTGATCTTATTGACAGAGAGATCTTATGGTCAGAGTCTAATTATGAAAACACCATGAGGATTCTTTACTTATTTTATAATGATCCCGGCGCCCATTACAGGACATTCGACGGAATCTTGAATGTCACGGCTGCACAAGTAAACATAACTTTTAATAATTTTGTGACTTTCAACGAGGATAATTCCGAAGCAACAATTCCTGCGATAATTGACAAAGAGCCAGAAAGTGACGCGAGGAAAGAACAATTTCAGCAGGAAGTTAGCAAAAATATTAATTCTGGCACTGGTTTTATTTTTGATATAAGTATTTTAGCTAACAATTTTTATCAAGTTTTCACCTTTGCTTTGGCAAACAGTCGCGTAGATAATAAATATCAAGGTCTTCTTTATTCAAATATTCAATCGCCAAACGGAGAAATCTATGTGGAGTTTTGCTCTGTTGGATACGTACGATTATCACGCATTCCGTTAAACTTAGAGAAAGCGATCGAAATGAGTCCAAATTATGAATTTAAAACTGAAATGCGATTAGGAGATCGTAATTCGTATGGAGCGACATTTGGACTCCGAGGAAATTGGACTCGCAGTAATGATGTCATTGAGAGGGCATCTAAATCCGAGATATTCGACGAATGTCGGCAAGAGATGGCACATGGCAACGTTTGGGTACCAGCGTGTCAAAGAGCCAGCGAATTATTTCAGCATAAGGATCTTCTGACAATGTCAATATCGACCGATGCGGTTTTAGTGTACTATATGTATATGATGGGCCCGATCGTAGGGCTCGCGACAAAGCTCGAAAAGCTTTCCAATGAAAATATTACGACACCTGAATTTTTTACTCGCCCGGGAAGCGCTCACGAAGGCACTATCGATATGGAGATAAAAATGTCGCTGGACAACAATGATGCGAAAATCTCTGTGAACACTTCACAAGTGGACGTTGGGTTCTCTCTATCAGACATTAACCAAGATACTTTCAAATTCTCTGATACGAAAGAATATTTCGATGGAAACTCAGAAGGAGGTAAAATTTTGTAAATAGAATACTATTTTACATTAAATAGCAAAATAAAAAAGAATTTAATGCATTGATACGGCATATTTGATTATAAAAATGTTGAAAGCAAGATAATGTCGAATCATAATGCAATAATTGATGATTCTGTATTATTTTTTAATCACGATCATATTCGATCTTTTAACGTTTTTTCGATAATTGTTGATAATAATATTGGATAAAATAGTCTTATCAAAAATGATATCAATTGTTTATACATAACAGAATAACTATGTAGAAATTTTTTTTTACAGAAGTGTGCGTTCTCGACAAAACTAAAGTTATTACTTTTGACAAAATGCAATATCATTTGAATTTGGGGAAATGTTGGCACGTTATGATGATCATTAAACAAAAGAGGGATATCGTTAATCCCGAAAAAACTTTAAATATTCCAAATGCGTTGAGAGTGCTTGTCATGGTTCGAGAAATGGACGATGGTAGCAGGGAGGTCCGGATGATCTTGGATGATCAAGAAATTTATCTGCAGAAATCGGATAATCGTCTTCAAGTTATGGTTAATGGTCAGGCAGTTAATTTCTCGGATCAGGAGAGTTACCGAGACTTTCTCGGAGAAGTCGAAATTTATCAAATGGACGGAATGATTGCAATTTCCTCGGAGCTCCATGATTTGTTCGCCGTGTATGACGGAGAACGTATCCTACTTAATGTAAGTATAAGAAAATAAAATAATTAATGCATTAAGGCCGGTTCTACAATAATGTAATAGGCCATAGGGTGTAAGATATTGAACAATAATCAATTATTTTTCTTACATTCGACAAAACTTACGTTCTGTGATTGGTTAATTTCTTACGGCTTTTAGTTACTATTGCAGAATCGGTCTGACATAAAATAGACTATACCTATGGCACAATCACGAAATAAATTTTTATATAAAATGCATCTGTTTCTAGCCATCCGATGCATATCTCAATGCTGTACGCGGTCTCTGCGGCAACTATGACAAATTGATGTTCAACGATTTTATCACTTCTAAGAATTGCAACATCACGCGTCCCGAAATATTCGCCGCCACTTATGCTCTGACTGAGGAGGACTGCCAAGGACCCGCGTTGCAGAATAAACAACAAGTCGACCAATACTCGTGCATTCCGATGCCTGAGTATTCTCCGACAAAGGATATCATTGATCACAAACTATTCCTTATTGATAAAGATAAACTACAAGCGCGCAAAAGAATTAGTTTCTATGAATACTTATCCGGCATTTACATGGATGCACACAAGACACGGCGACGCTAGCCGCGCGGCGAAAGTTGGAATAGCAATGAGAAAGTGATTTTCCTATCCCGAGATCTATCCACATTTCACTAAAAATTACTACTCATCACTACTGGGTGTAGTGATACTACTAATGATTACTTACACGAATTTAATACTATTACACTGCTTGTCACAAATAGTGGCACTATACTGCATACCAGCAGTAACACTACTACGTAAAAATATCGCAATAATCGATATTGTTTTATTAGCAGAGTTTGCAAGAATTGTAAGGCCGTAGAATAGATGTAAAAATATTTGTTTTATAGTATAATAAAGAAGATTTCTCCTTACAATTTAAACGCAGAATCAAGCAAAGATTTGGACGAAGAAAATTATTTCCAAGTTGTAAACTTTCAATATTTTTATATTATTAGCTTTTTTATTTTATCTATTCTTTATAAATATTTGATATTTTACTAATTGTAATCGTGTATAAATAAAAAATTATGTTATTAATAATTTCTTTTCTTTTTACAGATACGATTACAGATGTGTAATTGAGATTAAGGGATAAAAAATTATATCTCTATTTAAATTCTATTAAAATCAAAATTAGATTTTGCGCAATAAATATTTTTATTTAAACTTAGATCCTTTCTGATTATTTGAATGTAGAATTTTAACAGATAAGATTATGGATTGGACAGTTTAAACAAAGTTGATTCAATTGGCAGTCCATTTTGTTAATAACTTCACATAATTTTTTCGATTGCATGTATGTGACATTTTGACGAAAGCACTTTCCAAAATATTTATTCTTTTGTCGATGGCCTAAATGTTTATTTTTTATCACAGATCTTTTTTCTTCTTTAAAATGCTGATCTACAGAGGCTAAAAGAAAGCAATATTTTAATAAAATTGTGAAACGATAAGATGGGGTCTGTTTATAAGAATGTTGTATATACCATTTTATCATAAAAATTTTGTAATATTGATTTAATATGTTTATTAACTGTACTTCTTAAAATGGACACGTTCTCAGAACTCAAAGTCTTCTCAAATTCTCGAATCTCTTTTTCGCATTTCTCAAAATAAGTGCTGCGAAAAATTAAAGGTTTACAATCGATTCGACAGTCTCTGCAAACAGATCTTGCTTTTGCGATATATTGATCGTATTCGAGACATTTTAGCATTTCTTCGATGTAAACAAAGCGAGTTTTATCAATTCTTGTGATGACACCTGGACGGCACTTTGTTCTCAACAGATGATGTAGCTTTAGGAACATAGTGTACAAGCAACATTTAGATATTTAAATTACATAGTAAATGACAAGATTGTTGATGTACAAATTGCAACGATCTAACTTTAATTATAGCACTTAGCGCTTTATTATTTTACCTTAAATAAAATAAATAAAATCCAAAGCATTGCTTCGTGTTCAGTTACATTTTCCGCGTGATCCAGCTCTTCTTGTCTAAATCTGCCAGAAAAAGACAGTGTGTCGTTAAAAATGCGCACAAGACGTAAATATGTACATACATATGCGAGAAAGTACTTGTTCATGTTTTCTAAAGTTTCGTTGTTCTTTGCATAAACGTTTTTCAACCATCGTTGCAACTGCAAAAAGTTTATTTGCGTCTTCCTCGACCAATAGCCTCTCCAAACAGCTTGGATCCTCGTTGCCATGTTATTGTAATAATGTTGCCACATCTGATGAACACGCTCGGCTAAATATTGATTAATAAACTTCCTGGTATGATAACCGCGCCAATGCCGCTGCAGAATCGTTGCGTTCTCGTGAAGTTTACGAAAATGATTGCGGGTGAGGATACCGCGGAACCAAGCCTAAATGTTAAAAACTTCAAATGTATAAATATTAATATACGTATCCCGCACGTTGATATATCCGGATTGTGACTAACCTGGATCTTACGAGCTGCGATAAAATGCAGAAGTCTCGATGATTCAGCCAAATCGTGTTTAATTTTAATCGCAATTTGCAGTTCAACAGGATTAACCACAAATCTTAACTGCGACGCCATTTTAATATATCCAATTACATAGAAATTGGAATTAAATAAATATTAAAGATTAGTGATCATAATTTCGTATTTGTATACACTCTTGAAGAACGCATGTAACGTCGATATTCGCATCTAATTGTATCATGAACAACTGTCATCGTATTTGACAGTTCATATATATATATATATATATATATATATATAATAACTAGAATATAATATTTAACAAATGCTGTTTTATTTAATAATTCCGAACGGCGTAATATAAGTAAATTTAACTTAAATTTAAATATAAGCAATTTCTTTATTATTTCCAATTAATTGTAATTTAGTGCTAATAAATTTAAAAAATTTACATTTTGTATTTTAATAGAATGATATTATTTATTTAAATTATACGGAACGCATATAATTCACGTTAAATCAATCACAGATTTTTATAAAAATTTGTGAAATTAATACATTTAATAAATTTTTTTTAAATTCTTATTCCATCATTTTCCAAGATTTTGACATTATTGACATTTTTATTTTTACTATAAGGATAAATTTTTTTTTATATTCTGTTTTAGAAATTATCCGGTTGCTTTCATAGCGAGTATGTAGATTATCTCGTAGTGTCGAATCAGCTAGACCGTCGTCACGGCTTGTGTAGATGTTCTTTATGAAAAGGAAACTGCATAATACATATATAACGCGCGGTTTATTGCAGCGCATAATTAAACGCATATGCACGCGTGACACGCAAGTTCACCAACACATGAGTTTATTTCCGCTTTTTCTTCCTGAGGAAAGCGGATTACTTTGGAGAGTAACGAGATCTCGTGATGGCAACAAGATATTTGGAATATATAATAACCGCAAGAAGTTATATAAAAAGATTTAAAAAACTTGTTTGTCTTTATTTTTTAATATAACTGATTTTTAAATTTATCGTCGCTCTCTCAAACGTAATTTAAAATTTTCTAGTTTTCTATTTAGTTCGAGTAGCCATTAATGTGCCATGTGTATAAGAATTACAATAAACCTCCAACCAATATATCAATGCTATAAAGAATACGACTAGCACAAGCATAAAGGTTGACGTTACGATTGCTATCTTCAGGCTACTGGTTTTCTTCAGCCGAGTCCTTGACACTACGTGGAAGTCCCGCGACTGTAATAAAAAATATTCACAAATGTTATGTGTTGCAGCGGATAAGCGATTGCTGTAAGTTTACCAAGGGGTCAGTGAGTCGCGCGACCCTGCATTTAAGATTAATTTATTTCTTCGCTTTTATAATTATAATTAGAGCTGCATGCCGGAGATTGCGTTATACGGTTATGCGATTATTTCGGAATGCAACGATGTTTCTCATTATAGAGGTCATAAATATAATATGGAAGATTGTATTAACTGCTGAGTTATATCAGCGATTCGATACAAAATTTGCGCGAATTATTAATACGAAATCGGCAGCGCTTTTAATTAACTCGGATATTAATGGGGAATATTGGCGCCACGATTGTCACTATTTATGTTCTTAATTGAAGTTTCATATTTCATGTTTACGAGCCTCTTCCCCTGTTTGACAGGGAGGCTTCCCTCCCTGTCAAAAGCCAGAAAAAGGAAACAAGAGAGGGGGAAAGGAATATGTCGAGATTTTCTCACCGAAATTTCGAGGTTCTGCGTCTTTCGGATGATTTCGTCCAACCTTTCGCCCCTATCAATCAACTTTTGCACTCCATTCATCAATATGCGACGTACCTCAATCAATTCTTCCTCGAGCTTTGAGGTCAGATTCTTACAACCAATACCTTGATTATACTCTACCTGAAATAATGTCAATTCCGTTTTTCATACATACATTTTTACAATTTATCTGCATAAATTTACGTGCGACAATGTCATTTAATATTTGTAGAGAAAAACTGTTATGAAATATGAAATTACAATCATGCTTTATATAGTATTACAGTTTTGTTATTATCAATTAAGGCTAGTCAAAAGGTTTGCGTATTATAAACAGCCCGTAAACTACTTTTTTTTTGTTTCGATCATTTAAAAATTTTCGTAGGCTTCTATATTTTCTGTCACCTACTGTAAAACTGTTTTATCACTTACAATTATTTTTTTTAACGGTTTCGAGAGATCATCTTCTGCGAGATTGGTCAGATTTTTCGATAGATCCGCCAACGGTAATTCTTTATAGACGCTCCGCAGCCTCTGTAGAAATATGTGAGAGCACGATTCTACCCATATCGCTGATGAAGGACAGTCGACTTTCGACGTCAAACAGACGTAGTAAAGTTCCCCAATCAGCACATGTACCGTATACCTATGGAAGAATTGCATTTTATATTCGTTGTAGCGCGGATAAAGGAATAATGAGGCACGTAAATCTTATCGTGGGTTAATTAGTTCATTGCGACCTATTACACTTGTCCGACGATTTCAGCGAGTATACCATAACAAGAAAAATTGCTGACGCTCGCTATCCAATATATATATCTCATAATTTAACGCGCTCGTTTAAAGTGAAAAACAAGTCTCTATCACGCGCGAAATCTCCAACTTTACCGCTGGAAATGTATAAATCTGATTACATTGTTGTTTTCTCATTACGTGGTCGTTATCAAATCTAAATTAGCATAATCTTGTGTGCATGAAATCGTCATAATGTCCATGAATCTAAAAAGAGCTTACCTACTGCCGTCGACGCTGATCTTGTCGTCCTCGACAATCCTCAGGCCATCGATGGTACCCAGAGCGATAGTACGGTAGATTGGATTCGGATCTGTGGAATGGTCCGCGATGATCTTGCAGCCGGATGTCTCGCACAGGGCCACCATAGCGTAGTGCACGGTACCGTTCATTTCAGCCAAAAATGAAGTAGGCGCTTGCACCGAGGCTGAATGATGGGCGGATACTATACTGTGCTGTCTGTCAGACTATATATGTAGCGTTCACAGATGCCAGAAGAAGCAAACACCAACGTTGCCGGTTGTTTATGCCAATTCCCGATAGTCCAGTGAGTAACGAAAGAAGTTTCGATAAAGCTGATAACAGCACGTAAGTATTTACGTGTCATGTATTTCGCGTGCTGCGCGAATGTTGGACCGCCAGCGAATATTGCAAGAGACGAACTGCATGCGCCGATCGGCCATTAATCTTCGTCGTTTACCGAATTGCCTAATGTTTGCCGATTCAGTAAAATTTGATTGATAATTGACTGCATAAGTTGATAACAGAGACTATGTCTCTACTAGTATGAATGACTATGTTTCTACTAGTATGTTTCCGTTGGTTAAGTATGCAAAGACTAGAATGGCTAGATAAAGAAGTACTTTTGAATAAAATTTAAGAAATTATTCTTATTTATTAAAAAAAATATTTAATAGTCAAGAAAATATTTATAAGATAACATTTACTTTGTTTTATATTTACCCGCACACACACACTACATACATAATATATTACAAATTAAAAAAAATTTGATATATCTCATTTTATAATGTATCTATAGATACATACACACACATATATATATATATATACATTTATTTAATCGTGCATTTATTCTATAATCTTTAATTTTATATTCCTTCGATTATAAATAGTTGATAACGTAAACTGACGATATTACATAAATGTAATTAACTTTAGGAATATTCAACACTTTACGAACACAAAGCACGAAACCGATCTTAACTGCTATCAGCCATTGATCGAGCTTCTGTTATTCGAAAAGTTCAAATTTATTAAAAGTCTACTTCTTTAATAGCGTTTGTAATAAAACATAACAAAAGCTATTTTTATTTACTCTTATCAATCGTAATAATTGCTTCAAGTATTTGAATTTATTTTAATCGTTAAACAGAGATATTATCATGGTACTCGCATTATCTAAAGCACATAGTGCATTTTCTGATAAGATAATCGTATTTAAATAAGCACAATTGTTAATATTAAATCTATTAAAAATAGATATCAATGGCAGAACTGCTGATAAGTTAATGAAGCTTAAAATGATGTGAATGTCGATACGTGCATTAAACTTTGTTATTTGCAATCATATCGCACAATTGTAAAATACACAAATTATATTTTTATACTCACGTTTATACTTATATTGTTAGATATTTTTTCGCTGGTAGTATTGTAGAATGAAATCGGGCCCTCAAAGAATATTAGCTTTGAACTCTCGAAAATCTAAATTTATCCTATAATATACATTCTCGATCAAATACCATAAAAAATGAAAGATATATTTCCCACGGAATATTAAATCTCGCAGGACTCAGGACGATTCATGAGAACTTCAAAGAAATCTTACGAATAAAGTTCTTAATTGTTTTCTAGATTTTTTTCCAGATAAGAAAGAAGGAGCAATCTTTTCGAATTAACTTTGATACGCCGAGCTATAACGCAACAAAATAAATAAAAACAGCAGATTATTATATTATATTTAACATTTTATCTTTTGATTAATTTACAGATTCACAAAAAATAATATCCCGCGTTAGATAAAACAAACATTACTCTTTCTATCTTCGTGGACATCTTGGCATAGTTTCCTTCAATCGAACATTCAGTAAATAATTGTCGCACAAATTCTCAAATATAATTTCAGTGTCATTTATGACATTTATAATTGAAATTGCGTGGCAAAATATCTAGCAGTATTGTAAAAACGAATTCCCGGCAGAATTCATGTATCTGCGTATATTTTTAAAACTAATATATCTATTAAAATTATTACTTAAAACCCTAATTAAAATACTATTTTTTACCGAAAAAAATATGCGATTAAACAAACGTCAGGCTGCAGGAATCATTTCGCGCTGTCGTTATTTGCAAATTCTCTCAGCTTGTTCTCGACAGCGCTTGTGAACGACACGACGCCGCAAACCGCATGCGGAATTATCGCACGTAGTTCCCTTGAGACACGACAAAGGCTATTGACTTGATGTCGAGCGGAGGGAAAATAAAATTCAGAACACCGTCAACCTGTTACCGAACGATTCGCCACTCTGTTGAGTTCCAACCGCGCTTACGATACATGCTATCAATCAAAACTCGAGCATATACTCGTGCTATATATGAATATCGTTCTTATATGAATAAAAACGTTGAAAGAGATATAAAATCGAGGATATTACGCGTATCCTTTATTAAAATTAATTACAAAAATTACTAATAGAGTATATTTATATTACTCGAAATCGGTTGTAAATATTCGTATTCTGTAAATTCATCGACAAATTGAAATTTCGGTAGTAAAGAATTTTTGCGTTAGATCGCAGTTTTCCATATATAGAAATTAAGAATAGAGTAAAAGTATGCGATCACCAACTCCCTATTATTAATCAGCTTCTCGATTGTTTATAAAAATATCTCTTCTATATAAATATTTCCCTGCAAATGACTCTCTGTTAATTTGTGACCCGAATAGAATCCTGCATATTTAGCTATTTAATCGATGCCTGTCACGAATCAACGCACAAAATTTTTCCGACGTGACTCACCAAAATTGCCACATTGGACTTTGCACTGCGGCTGGACCGCTTTGAATAAACGAGACGTATATGAAATATGGCTTTACGGCACGGTTAATCGAAACAGGGAAATGCTTTTCTTGCATAGACTGGCTGTGTAATCAATAAATAGCGACGAAATCGATATTAAATTAGAAAATGCATTAGAATAAAAAACAATTTTCTATATATAAGTTCTCAACTTTCTCTGTATTATATAAATAAAATATGAATTCTATTGTCATTATTAAGTTTATATCTAAAATTTGTAATATACTTCGCTGAATTGTAACTTTTTTTTATATTGTTGCTAAGTTTTTGGAATTTCACGATATAAATATGTATAATTTACCGAGATAAACGATATGGTAATTATATAATAGTATATTATATTGTTATTGGTATAGACTTTAAGAAGATTTATTGTTTCGTTAAAATTCAAAATACATAATATATCTTTTTATTTATAGATTAAAAATTACTCTACAAATTATATGTTAAAATTCTTAAATTTAATTTTTAATTAAAAACTACTCGATTACTATATATAGTTTCTTAGTTACAGCATATTAGGCTAAATTGTATTTTGACAAATATTAAACATACTCATTTTGCAAAAAAAAGAGAATAACAGCATTAAGAAAAAAAAATATATAAGAATATATGTATAATAAGAGAACATGATGTGATTAAAATTTCATTAATATGCATTTCTTTTTAAAAGCGACTATTTTGTAGTCTGATAGCTTATAAGTATTCCTTTGTTACAAAAAAAAAATGCAAAATAAGATGCGTGACAAATGCGTGCTCCATAAATGATTACGTCATTTCATAAATAATGTAAATAGTTTTTTAATTGAAATTTTAATAATTTACCTGAGAATTTGTTATCAAGCTAAGAGCGCAAGAATATACAAAATTTATTTCAGTCAATCTATTCATTACAAAATAATTTATAAATGTTATGTATGCGACGCAATCGTACTCAACACACATGCACACTTGGATTAAAGAAGTAATATTACATCGTTATGCGTTTTATTGCATAGTGTGCATAATGTGTTTTTTCTTTTCGTATAATGCCAACTGTCTATATTTTGGAGATTGATGGCAATGTTTACAAGTAAATATCTGACGGTTCTTAACATATATAATTAATATGCATATAATGATATGTAACTAACGTATTATAAAATCTGAAATAACTCTACAAAATCTGTTGAAGATATCGATTTTTAGAGAACAGGAATTCGGCTAATATAATTCACATTCAGTGCTGGCTTTACATCTGTGCCTCTCATAAAAGTTAGATGTAGTGAAGCAAAAAAGTTACATTTGTCATCTAAAATTAAAAAGAATATTTCAACAAAATTGAAATAAATTACTGCCACGCTTTTCAGTAGAATCGATCTTTTTTTATCTTAAAGAAAATTTTAATCTTTTTCTCTTGAAGATCTTTTGTTCTTTGATTGTATCAATTTAATATTGGAAATTGGAAAAACGGCATTCGAACGCATCGATTTGAAATGGTACGACGATGCAAATAACGAGCGGCTGCTGCACAAATGTTGCATCGCAAAATTCAAATAGCAAGTGATAACGGAAGGGTAACTTTACCAGCTGCGGAACAACTACCAACGTCCGGATAGAGATAGAACATTTTACGATCTCTAATCATTGGTCAGCTGTTCTACCGACATGCAAGGTCGGGCGCAAGGCGAGATACTATTTGCATTATGATTGCAAAACTAATGCTTACCGTCGTAAAGTCCAAGTAAAAAATGATAGATCAGACATCATACGTTCGTTTACGCAATAGATCTCATTTCACCAAAGAAGTAGATAGTGTCTGGCACAGGAGAGTACAACGGAGAAAGATCACGATTCTTATCTCGCGCTTTTTTTAAAAAAAAGCTTGCATTTCTGTTCCATCTAACATACGACGCGCGCACGCGTCTATGTTGTTTGTATACATGGAATAATTAATATTTCGTCTAATATACAGAAAGAAAATATATTAGGGCCGGATAACTAATATAATAAAGAATTTTTGAGTAAGCAATTCTGTCGATTAAATAAATCAATGATTAATTAGAATTTGATCAAAATTTCAGTGTCTCGCGGTTACTGCTGACTATTTCATCAAGTTTTTAACGTATAATTTCTTATAATATGTTTATTTATTTTGATTGTAAAATAAATTATTAAGTAAACAATTTAATTATTATATTATTTATGATTAAAAGATAAAATAAATGATTGAGCGTATTTGCGTTACAAATAAAGATTGTAAATAAGTATTATGAGCATTAATCCTTTCCGGTCTAAATTATTTTTTATAAATAGGCAGAAATCAAATATTTTATGTTCAATTTAATCAACGGGTATATGTATATAAATAGAATTTATATTATACGTATATTATATATTTGAAGGATCAATTTTGGAGATCTGAAAAATACAATTTGCTAATTATAATTGTGTACTAA